GGGGCACAGAAGCTGCTGGCCACCAAGCCCCTCTCCAAAATGCTGCCAGTGGATGAGTATCTGCCCATCATGTACGACAAGCACCCCAAGTAAGGAGCAGGGGGTGCAGGAGGGTGCCGGCATGGCCATGCTGGGGAGGGAGTATGTGTTTCTTCTCCGCCGTCACCGTCCCACCCGATTCCCCCCCCCAGTGTTACTCATGCTGGAGGAAAACATCTGTAGCATGAGCTTATTCCCTGCCGGCCTCTGCCTGGCCACCGGCCGCTGGAAAATGGCCCCCTGCCAGTGCGGGGTGGGGGAACAGGGCTGGAGCTGAGGCTCAGTGTGGGCCCTGCACGGGGGTCTTGGCCCCATGGCAAGGAGGGAGCAGCCCCCTGTACCCTGGTGCTGGGGGACTGTATGGTCCCCTGCCCCTGGTTATGGGATTCAGGCACTTGAACTCCCCTCTCTGGGGTGGGTGTCACCGGTAAGGTTGTGTCTGGGGAGGGGGAGGCATTTTAGGGGGTGGGCGAGCACTGGTGTCTGGGTGTGCCGTGAGAGAGGGAGGTGAGAGAGCCAGGATGGAGAAACACAGGGGTCAGGCGTGTAAAAGGCAGCTGGAGGTGGATGGAGGGGCGGATTAGTGCTCTGGATATGCACCAGGAGCAGCTGGAAGTCCCATGCTTGCGGGGATAACAGCACCAGACAGCCCTGGCCCCGGGCCAGCTGGATGCTGTGCCAGAGGCCCCCTCCATGCCAGAGCCAGCCCTGTGCCACCAAGACTAGTGGGGAGAGATGGGTCCTGGCCCCTTTGCAGTCCCTCCACAATCCCTGTCCAGCCAAGGCTCTGCAGGCAGCAGTGGCACAGGGCAGCCACCTACTCAGCTACCTTCCCCAGCCCCACTGCCTGGTGTCCCTCCCCATTCCCTGCCCTCCATGGAGCCTTTCCGGGGTGGTCGGTATGGTTCTCCCAGTGCTTTTTCTTCTCTGTGCCTTGCTCTGTAAGCCAGTTTCTTCCCTCGGGTCTGTTCCACTCTCCCTAGCGAGGATTACAAGCGGCACTTCTCCCCCCGGGACTTGCTGGTGTTTTCAGCTCACCCGCTCCTGGTTTATCCCACCCACTACGCTGGGGACAGCAACTGGCTGAGTGACACTGAGACCTCCACCATCTGGGATGACGATGCCAAGAAGACGGACTGGGCTGGCTCGCAGAAGACCCTGCGGGACTCACGGGGCAGCGCCGGCCACCTCCGCTCCACTGGCCACGACGAGCTCTGATGGTGAGCAGGGCTGTGGGACCTGGGCACGGGGGACAGAGCATCTGAGGAGCATCTGTGAGCCCCATGTTCAGATGTGTCCTGCATGCCTGGTTTCTTCTTGTCGTGTGGCAGCAGCTCTCCCCATCAAAGCACTGGGAAAGAGATGGGACTGTCTATTCCAGGTGGGGAAAGGAATGGGGACACACATGTCCCATGTGGGGCTGCAGAGGACCAGGGAACCAGGTCTTGCTGCTTCCCAAACCCTCAAATGAGGAAGGGACAATGCTCCCCCTCCTGCTGCAAGTCACCTCAGCCGGGAGAGCTGGGAGTATCTCCCAGGGGAATGTTTCACCCCGGCACTACTTGCTGCCCCCAAAAGCAGGTCTCCCTGGGGCTGCATCTCTGTGCAGGCAGGTGAGAACCAGCAGTGGCTCAGCCCCGGGGCAGCACGGCCACAGTTAACGCTGGGTCAGACTTTCCCTGTCTGAGGTTGCTTGTCCTGGCAGCAGAGCCACCCCAGGAGCTGCCAGAAGACCGGGGGAGGCTGGAAAACAGCCCTCCCACCGCCTCGGCTGCAGGCGTGAACGCGTGGGGGCTGCTCCAGCCGTGACCGCTAATGTCTGTGTTGTGCCTCCCAGGGATGAGGGATCGTGACCCAGCTGGGAGCACCGCGGGCCTGATCCTGCCCATTCCTACTCGAGTGATGCAGTTGCCCTGGACAGACCCCCACAGGGTTCTTCGAATCTGACTGTTACAAATCCAACCTAAGGCAGGATTTGCCTCAGGAGAGCCTTTCCCTGCCAGGTGGAGTGACCAGCCAAGCACTGTCTCTGCTGAGCACACGTCTCCAGGACTGCCCCAAGTGATGCCAACTCTGCCACCAGCTTGGACTTTCGGGAGTGCTTTTCAGGCTGGAGGCTGGCTCCTGCAGTGGCACACGTGGCCTCCTGCCACTGACTGGGTTGTCCCTCGTGCCATGTCTGGGCTGAAGCCCAGGGAGGATTAAAGCAGACTGTGATTGAGCTGACGTGCTGGGTGCTGGCATTGCCCCATGTCCCCACGGCGTTATCCCATCAGGGTCACCTCGGAGCTGCAGGAACAAGGGTCTGGCAATTCCCTCAGCCAGGAATTGCTTTGGAAGTGAAATCCATAAGCGGGAAAGGGTGAGGAAGGGAGGGCAGGTTGGGAACACCTTTGTTTCCCTGCCTGTCCCCTGGTTGCAGGTAGCCTCAGTGCTCCGGGAGGAGCTCAGGAGCTGGGAATGGAGCAGAGGAAGGTCTGGTGCCAGCTGGAGCAGAAGATGGAAGTGGCAGTAGTGCTGCGGTGCACGTCACCCAGCAAGGGTCCTGGTGCTTGTTCCGGTGCCTGCTGGGACACAGGCGAGGAGCTGCCCGTGCTGGGGGTCTCAGTACTAGCGGGGTATGGAGCTGGGCAGGATGTGCCAGCAGAGCCCAGGGCTCTGGGACATGGCAGTGTTGGGTACACACTGCCTCTCAGACTGCCCTCCCCACCATGAGACTGCAACGGGTCTGGGAGGAGGAGCCAGAACTCCTGCAGCTGTTGGAAACTCCAGGGTTTTGGCTTCAAACCACTGAACTCAAAACACTGTGAGGCCAGCCCTGAAACTTGCTGCAGCTCAGTGGGATCAGCACGCTATGAGATTCTAGGTCGCTTGTGCTTGCCACAGTTTCTCAACAAAAGTGACTCTAGACCCTATGGAAGTTGCTCCCATTGCTCCCCACTTCCCATTGGAAGCATCCCTCTAGCGTGGGCTGTTGGAACAAGGGTGGGAACATGGATTTGAGCTGCAGTGCCAGGGACAACCCGAGCTCAGCAGGCGGCGTGTGGAAGAGAGGCAGGAGCAGGGCAGAGTTGGGGCAAAGATTTATTTAAATTCTGTGCCAAACTGCTGTGGAGCCATCGCAGTGATCTCAGTGGGACATGAGCCGCCCAGATCTGTGCTGGGACAGAGGGGGCTGTCCCAGAGCCTGGCAGGGCCAGCTCTGCTCCGCACCACGGTCCCTCTGGAGAGCCACAGTGCTCTGTCCATGGGCCACGCAGGTCCCCAGGGGTTCCTTTCAGCCCCTGTCTCCTGCAGGCACTCGGCTCTGGATGTGCTCCAGAAGGCAGGTCACTGCCTGGGCCAGGACCTGCTCCAGCTTCTCCTGCTCCTCGGTGCTGAATGGAGCCAGGACGTAGCTGGACACTGTCACTGCACCCTCTGGCCGCCCGATGCCGACCCGGAGCCGGGTCATATCCTGCAGAGGAAGAAGAAGAGCTGAGGGAACTGCCCCTCAAGGGCTGAGACAGAGCTGGGCAAGGGCACAATGCTGAGAGTGGGGCTGGGCAGCGAGGGAGCAGCTCCTCATGTTTTCCAGGTTGTTTTGAGTGCTTGCTCCAAGAAACATGATTTTGGAAGAGGCTTTTGCTGGGCTGTGTTGAGATCTCAGGCTCCTGCCAGGCCTGGCAGAGCTGCTCAAACTAATTGTTTCCATGTCCTCCACAGCAGCCAAACAGACATCAGCCCTCAGGGAAGGAGGGGAAGGAGAAAAAGGGAGAGAAGGAGCAGCAGCTTGTCAGAAAAATGGGAGTGGGGAGACAAGCCATGCATTGAGGTGAGGGCAGGATTGATCCCGTTCCACCGAGGCCCACTCACACTGGAGTGCAAAGCACTGATGCAGGACTGGACCCCGTTGTGTCCCCTTGGGAAAGAAGGAGAAAACCCATGGTTAGTTTGCAAGAGATCCCCCCCAAGTCTTGGGGTCTCCTGCTGCAGGGATATGGGGCTGTGGTCCCAGCCAGGAGTTGCAGTCTCCATGCCCTGCCTCTGCAGGAACATCCAGATCTGGGGGCTCAGAGCAGCCGGCTGGGGGGGACAAGGGAAGCAGGGCTGGGACAGCACGTTCTGTGTGTCTCAGTTCTCGCTGCAGCTGGTAAGTGTTTGTGTGACTGAGTGCTGGGGCCCAGCACCATCCCTGCCCATCCCACAGTGGAAGATTTCCTGGGTTAAATTTCTCCAGGCTAACCCACAAGCTGGCACCGGGCAGGCACAGCGCTATAAAAAGCCCATGTGGTGCAGCCGACGGGCTGAATCCAACCCACAGCTGCTTCCAGGAGGCTCCCTGCCCTCCCTGCCAGGGGAGGAACTGGGAGGCTGCCCAAACAGCCAGATGTTGCCTCTGCAATGGATTGATGCTGGGGCTGAAACACTACAAGGCTGGTGGGACAGGGCCAGGAACAGCCCATGTGCCTGTGAGGGCATGTTAAAGCCTCAAACCATCTCATACAGAGCTGGGGACACCCCATACCTTGCGCTGCCTCCCAGCTTGATCGCCACCTTGCCCAGGGCCTTGTCCAGGTCATCGTGAACCAGGTAAATGTCTTCTGGGCCAAGGTTGTAGATCTCAGCTTTAGAAACAGAAATACAACCCAAGGAATGAGGGGAAGACAGAGTCACCAGTCCCTGACCCTGCAGGGTGGGGCTGCAGTGACCCGTGCAGGGCAGGGGGGCAGCAGGGCTGTGACAGGGCCCGGTGACCAGCGGGGTGACCCAGCCGCTCACCGGCACTGGCGACGCTGAGCCCGTTGAGGTTCATGAACCTCCGCGGCTTGAGCAGCACCAGCTCCAGGCCGTGGGCCGTGGCCAGGGCCACGTCGGCGCAGCACCGCCTGTCCACTCGCCAGCCATCAGCCACTGCCAGCTGCCGGGCCAGCCTGTCCAGCACCACCATGCCCACGCTGTGCCGCGTCCCACACAGACCGTAGTTGCCCAGGCCGGCCACCTGCCCGACAGGCATCAACAGGGCTCTGATGGGCTGCCAAGAGCCCCTGCAAGGGCCTGATCCACCCCTTCAGCCCCGCTCCCCCCACAGCCCCCGCAGCTGGCTGGGTCCTCACTCAGCCCGACTCCCCCGGTTGCTCCCTCCACAGCCCCGACGCCCCTCGTTCGCCCCAAAGCCCGCTCCCAGCAGTGCCCCCCTCAAAACCCCGCTCACCATTCCACATCCCGCTCCCCATCGCAGCCTGCTCCCTTTCAAACCCCGTTCGGCCACCGGCCCTGACTCGCCCCCGGTGCTCCCCTCATCAGTTCCCGTCCCCCCCACTCTCCCAAAGCCCCGACCACCCTCCCGTTCCCCCCTCACACCCCCCCAGCCCCCGCGCCCCACCAATGGCGCGCGGCCTCCGCAAGTCCCCGCGAGCGCCCGCCGCGCGCCCCGCGAGCTGACTCCGCCGCCAGCATGCCCTTCCCGTCCCCTCCCCGTGTGACTCCCAGCCCAGCGCGCCGCTCAAACGACCGGCCCCGTCCCGCGCCGCCATCTTGGTTACGGCAGCCCGCGCCATCCTTGTTGAGGGCGGCGGGCGGTGGGGGGGCGGTGGCGCGACTGGGAGCGGGGCCCGGCGCTGGAATAAAGCTTAGAAGTCCCGCTGGTCGTGCTGGGGATTGGGTGTGGGTTTTCCGGGCCGCGGGAAACAGAAGGGGTGAAAGCCGGGCATGGTCACGTGGAGGGTCCTTGGGCCCCGGCCCGCCCGGTCCCGCGCTGCGGAGGCCCCCGACGGGCCTCACAGGAGCAGTGAGTGCCCAGGAAACTGGGCCTCCTGGTTTGTGTGTTCGTCCCCCGCCCGTGGGCGGCCCTTGGGGTACGGCTGGATGGGGGGACACATCACCCCTCGCCTTCCCCATTCCCCCTCCAGCCCTGGGTGGCTCCTGGCCCTGCCCAGCGGGGCAGAGCTTCCTTCCAGGGCACTGTGACTCCCCCAGCCCAGCAGCACATCCCTAGGCTGCACTTACTGCTCTTCTCCTCTCCACAGCTGGCAGAAAGGGATGGAATTCTCCTCCCGTGGCCAGCGGGAGGGAGTCATCTCCTGCTATTCAAAAGCCATCGACCTGGATCTGCGGCAGGTAAAAGGTCCCCAGAAGGCTCAGGATTCACCAGGCTGGGAGCTGGAGAAGGTGGGCAGCACCATTAAGGCTGGCTCTCACATGGGCACTGGGCTTCGGGATGCTGTTAACCTCTGACCCGAGGTTCTCCCTTGGGTTCCCCCTTGCTCTTGATCCAGGTCCTCAGCTGTGCCTGCCTGGACCACTTCAGCAGCAGGGAGAGATACTAGGAGCTGGGATTTACTGCTGGTGGATTGTCTCCCTTTCCTTATGGCCTGACCTGGGGGCATGGCTGGGAACAGCTGCTCTCTTCCGGGCTGTGTCTCCTGCCTGGCAGAGCTCAGTGCTTTTGGCTAATGATGCTGAAATCTTTGTGGCTGGGGTGGGCTGGACATGTGCCCTGTGTGTTTCCAATTGGCATGGAGAGCTCCAGACAATGCCTGGGGGTGGCAGCCAGCCCCCAGCTGCTTTCATTTAGCCGAGGTGCTGCTGCTGCAGAATCTCCCTTTGCCCAGGGGAGCTGCCAGCAGGTCACCAGCAGGATGGAGCTGAGCCAGGGTGTCCTGTGCACAGCCAGGTTGCAGTGGCACTGCATGAACAGGGGAAGCAGGACCGGGGAGGAGGTGAGCAGGTGGGCTGGCACAGCCAGGACTCACAGCCAGGTTGTGAGTGGGATCATTCCTGTCCCCTCCCTGGCAGGACCAGCAGGCAGAAAGGTGTCCACAGGTGGTCTCTGTGCCTAAGGAGGGTGGAGAGCACAAAGGGAGGATGCTGCTGCTACTGCTGTTCCTCCTCCCAGGGAAAGGCTGCTCTCTTTTTCCTAGTTACTCAACTGGAAACCATCAGCTCCATGCCACTACATCCCTTAAGTCCCATCACATCAGGCAGCTGTTCCCGTGCAACTGCACATCTTCCAGGTCCTTCCACACCAGCTGCAATTGGGAATTCAAGCAAAAGACCCCAGCCATTTATCTCATAAAAGATTTATTTTAAAATTAGAAATGCATAATATTTTTGGAAGAGGCAGAACATTTGGGTCCACCTGTGGGCCAGCTCCTGGGCAGCCTTTGGGTGGTGTCTAAAATCCCCAGGGCTCTGGGGCTGGAGCTGGAATGGTCCCAACTGCTGGCAGCTTGTTTCTGCATGGG